AATTGGATTATAATAATTACGGCGTGTGTGGAGTTTTATATATAGCACGACGTTTACTTCGGGAGTTCTTTAATACTTCTACTTACTGAGAGGAGTAAAGAAATACTTTGATGGATAGTGCTGTATTTATGTTCATTGTTCGAAGAGAACGCTTTTACTATACGATATCACTCGAAGGGAAACACTGTTTCTCGAAAAGTGAGCAACATTTCTTTCTACTTTCAATAATTTTACTCTCTCAACGATTTTTTATACACTTTGGTCATGGATCGAAAGAAATCGATCATTCTTTTGAACAATATTCGATGCTAATTCGATCGATCTTTAACCATTTTTCCCCCCCCCCATTTTCCCTTCGAGAGATTATTCTAGATCTTAATGTGTATTATATAATATACTGCTGAATATCGTGGTGACTGTACGCTATGCGGATAATGTGATAATGTACAGTGTGGGGTGTGTAGCGTATGAATGCAGCATAAAGCTACGCAAATAATACATGATATTGTAAAGGGATATCGAATATTATCGTCGAAATATTACCTGCTATGCATGTTTTATATATATATATATCTGTACACTCTGCTGAAACTAAATAAGCAGCAAAAGGGTTAAAGGAAAGACAACACTCGATAATAATGTACAAGTCAAGCAAACATTGGGTCGACACAGTTAATAATAAGTAAGGGTGTAATTAAGATAGATAGAGAGAGAAAGAAAGGTGTTCTCATCGGGGTTCTCATCGTTAATAATAAAAATTAAAAAACTTCTGTGGACAATTCTACTCTTCTCTTTTCTTTGGGGAAAAAAAAAAAAAAAGAAAAAAATAAGAATACTACTTCACTCGGAACATTTACTCGTCAGCAGATTTTGTGAACGAAGGCGACATTTCTTTTTGTCGAAGCTCTACGTACCCCGAACTCGATCACGAGGGCGTCCACGATGCTGCCGATCACCGTGATGAAGTCGAACGTGTTCCAGGCGTCCTTGAAGAAATTCTGCTCGGCGAGGAGGGGGGAAAAAAAAAAAAGTATCGATTAGGTATCCATCGCGCCATCAAACTTGCCTACCACTGTCGTCGAAGCTTCTTCGAACGAGTCTTATTCGTTTAATTTTGCATTTTCTTGTTGTTGTTTATTATCCAAAAGGACAGGTTTCGAGGAAACTTCGAAGCAGTTAAGAGATGTGTATATGTGTGTGTGTGTGTGTGTGTGTGAGTATTAAATCGTGTATTAAATGGTAGCGCTAGAAGAAACTACGAATTTCGTAAAGAGAAAAAAGAGGGAAGTTTGTCGTTCGTGTCTCGTGGTCTGTGTGTGTGTGTGTTTGTATACGTGTGTGCCAATACGCACCCCTTCACCGAACTTTAAACGTCGGTTCAAAAAAAAGCTAAATGCCGTGCTTTCGAAAACGATGTGTTTCTTTTTAGAAGAAAAAGGCCGTATCTCTTCGTTCATAAAGAAAATTGTAATATTTGCGTCGATAACTGTCACGTATAAAATAATACTCTATCGTGTATATAATAGATAAAATAATAGAAGAAAGGTTAATTATTTAGAACAGGAGTCAACTCATCGATTTCGATATCTTTGAGGTATCTTGAAGGTTGTTATTATTCGAATGATTAACATTTTATTGTTAATTTTGCGCATCAGTTTTTTGAGTGAGATATATGCAAATGTATTTTTTTTTATCTTATAAAATATAAAGTTTTCTTTACGTTAGATTACGTAAGTTTGTATTTTATTATATTTGGATTAAATTCAGATTAAGTTAAGGTTGGATTTTAATTAGACATATATTGCCATCTCTCTAGCAATTGAATGAATAAGAAAATCTAGAACATTATTTAGATATTATAAATCTAATTTAAATTTATGGATCAATAGTACGATTATGTTCAACCTAAAATAAATTATTGGAGATTTAGTTTGAAAGATTGATTCGAATGACTTGGAAATACAGGTTCTAGTTATAACGCAAAAACATCGATTGAGATTTATTTATCAATTGCTTGCAACCTGATGAATAAACTAAACAACTTACAATTTTTCTCTACCAACTTTTATTTTTTTATTTTTGCCTCTAGAATTTACTTAAAAAAGATATTCTGCAAAAAAATATTTTTGCTGATCATCTTTTTCAAAATCGACGAGATCCCTATATTCCAAATAACAATATCGAAAGAACTCGTACAAAATACTCTTTTCAATAATATACTACGAAAGCAATTGAAAACAATTCTTCAACCGATATCTCTCCAATTTCTTCTCCCTCGTAACAAGAGTGTTGTGCGGAAGATGAAGAGACCAGACTGAGATGGGTCTTTTACACGATTTACGAGATATCCGAGTCGCACGGCACGGTGATCGATAATCGATTGAAGTATATACGACAGGATCTCTTTTCTAAGTTAGTATCTACTACGGGAGCATGCCGTAATAGGTATATATATATGTATGTATATAATAACAAGCAAACTATATATATATAAAATATAGAAAGAGAGACAGAGAAAGATAGATACGCGGTCGTATCGGTCGAGAAGCTCTACGATATTTCTTTCCAGGGCCAGGAAAGAGGCTACTTTCTTTCACGTTTCCAAATCGCTTGAAAATTAAACGTAATGCAAGCCAGAGTCATCAGAGAGCGTAACAATCTCAACTCTATCGCAGCTTCTATCGATATCTATATTTACGTTCTCTAGGTTTTTAAAATACTCTAAAATACGTGGGCGATTCAAAGTGTATACCGATCAACTTGATATCAACTGTATTATATTGGCATGTGTTAATCGAACAGAGTTGGGCATTGACCAAGTTGAACATTTTTAAATGCTTGAAATAACATTTATTCGTTACTGATGCGATTCTTTTTCACGTATCGAGGTTATTATTTATACAAGGTGTCTTTTCAGATAGGGAGGAGATCGGTTATTTAAAACTCGCTCTCCTCCTCCTCCTCATTTTTACGAGCTCGAAATTAATCGGTACACGCTTTCGATCGCTATTGCAACTTGTAAACGGATCAAACAACAGGGGATCTTAAGTAAGTTCGTGTATGCTACCTCGATGGATTATTGGATTACTTAAAGGAGGGAGCGAATTTCAAAGCGTCTCCCCCGTGTATGTGTATATATTATGTACATACTCCTCTTTTCTGGCGCTAGTTCGATTTTCATTTGTTTCTCTCGATCTTCGACGAAGATTTTTAATCCTCTCGCCAGTTGTCGAAACTTTGTTTCTTTTTTTTTTTTTTTTTCTTACGCGTAGGATGATCTAGATCGAGTGGAGCGAACGAGAGAAGAAAAATAAAAAAGAAATAAAGAAAGAAAGAGTTATGATAGCATGGGATACAATCAGTCACGAAAGTCATCGTATTGAAAGTAAATTCTCTTAAAACTTTAAGATTTAAAATAAACAATTTTTTAAACGGGATATCAAAGTTGCAGTTAGTTTTTGATACTTATTCCTATAAGGTGAACTTATTAAATGAATTTAAAACGCATTATTGCGAAGAAAGCATCTTTTATATATTCTTTGAAATAAATATTATGAGCGAAGCATTTAATTTTGTTTGCAGTAGAGATACAAAATTGACATTGCTTTTTAATTAATTAAAATGCTTTCTGTTATAAAAAATTGGAGGATTGATTTCATCCAAGATTCCAATAAAACCAATATTCCATGCTCATGCACGCAAATCTTCGGTAAAATTTTTGGATCAGACGAATTTACGATACTTTTTCTGACTGATTGCATAAATATATGTATAAATATAGTTATTGCGTGTAACTGAAGTTAGCGGATTTCAGTGATAAAGAGGATTGTTTTTATACCTTCCATCCGAAGGCGACGAGTTTGAGGATGCACTCAATGAGGAAAAGGAGTGTGACGAAGAAGTTCACGATGGCCAAGGCGTCCACTAGCTTTGGCGGCGCCTCGTGAAACTACAAAATACACCCAACACACAGACGTAACACAAGCCTAGATTCTGTATCGGTGCCCGTCTTTTCTTTTCTTTTTTTTTTTTTATTTCACCCTCTATCATCCATTTTCTTTTCCAACTTACTACGCCTTCCCAGTTCGTTAAACTTTCCCAAACAATGTTTCTCACGAACAACTTTCCAGACGGGTTAACACCAAGCTATCATGTTGCCCTCCCCCCTATTATATAACTCCGCGCCATTTTCTTCTCCTCGTATCATCGTTCATCTATCTCATCGTTTACTTTATTAATTTATCGGCTCGACAGAGCTTGAGCAAATTTTCTCTTCTCTCGTCGAGAGAACGACTCTTGTTGTTCATTAAATTAAAAAAAATATCGGACGAGGAAAGGAAAATTTGCCCGTACTTTCTGTCTGTCGAAATTTCGAATCGTCCCGCAACGGGGTTACCTCGATGCATACCTCTTTCTCGTGACAGCTTTTAACGATATAAAAGGAGAGAAAGAGAGAGAGAAAAAATTGCAATATCTCTTTTTTTTTTGGAAAGATCAAAGTAACCCCCTTGCGACAAACGCTTCCTCTTTCCTAATCGAGGAATCGACCTAACCTCTTTTCTCTCCCTGCCCCAAAAAGATATTCGAGCAAGTCTAACCAATCTTCGACAGATTCTTACGAAGTAGGCGATCGTTCTCGAGCGTTTTATAAATGGAAGCGCGGGGAAACGTCGCTTCTTGTATACATGTGTGTGTGTGTGTGTGTGTGTGTGTGTGTGTGTATGTGTGTGTGTGATAGGTGTGCGTAGAACCCATAACTGGTATACAACGGCGGTGGGTAGCATGGATAGAACTCTAGTTTTTAGAGCAAGTTAGACAAGAATTTTTGTCTTTCTTTAATCCACGTGTATTTTTTATAGATTTTTTTTACGTAATACGATTCAGAATGATGGTATTAATTGGGGATTTTTGAGAGTCGCGTGACGCCATGTTGGATTTTAAGATCCAATTCGATTGGAAGTAGTGGTACTGGCGGCAAATATAAATTGCCTTTTGGAAATGTTAAATTCTTCTTATAATGCAATACGTATTTGGAGTCTATAGAAGATACGATAATATATTGATATTGAGGAGAAACAAAAACTGAAATTTTTAAATTAAAAACTTAAAAACTTTTGATAGAAAAATAAATAAAAAATATAAACACGTAGAAATTAATTGGAAGAAAAGAAGAATTAGAAATATCAAAATTAAACAGAATTTATAATAATGATCGATCTGTTGATCTAAAGATAATTCGAATTTGGCGCCTATTCACTCATTGTCCATGGCGTCTTATAACAGATAAAATACTTAAAAATATGCAACTTCACGTGTACATATAACGTTGAAATAAATTGATAAAAGTTGATGAAACTTTTGTCTCGCTCATCTAAAATCTCATAAAAATACACGAAAAAGGCTACAAACTAAAGTTCGACCATGGTATGCGTGTGGCGGAAGCTGGAGGCGGTTCAAGCCTTCCTGTTCTTCGTTAACACTTAAAAAAGTGTCGGCCGACTTTCATCTCGATCGCGTTTCATCGCCGAGAAAATTTCTCTTCGGAAAAAAAAAAAAGAAAATAGAGAAAAGTTTTCTTCGAACGTTGAAAAACGTTCTCGACAAAATGGCGGCGACGTCCATCATGGCGGCCCATAAACACGAAATCATCGCAACAACAGAGAGACACACTGTCCAAAGCCGGGCATCGATCCATGTCCACGATTTTATCATTCATTCCGAGGATCATTCGTCCAACGATCGACACGAAAAAGAAAAAGGGATCGACATCCCGCTTTTGAAACAATGATGTATGCATGCAAGAATGAATAAAACAACGTCAACGTGCAGTGATTACGTGCGGATGCAACCAGGCTAAGAGCATGCCGGGAGCTTTCCGAGTTACTGGCTGGCGGATTTACTTCCTCGAGGCGGTCCCCTCCGTTCGACGTATGTATCTCGTAGGGAGAAAAAAGTTTGTCTTGAATTAAAAACGATCCGGGAAAAGAAGAATAGATAAAAAGAAAGAGAGAGAGAGAGAGAGAGAGAGAGGGTGTGTACGTGTGAAAGAGATGAAGAAAAATAATAATTCGACGTGACAATTATGCTTCTTGTTGTTACTTTGCCGCGTTTCTCGACGAATAATACCGACGAATGTGAAATGCAAATGTCTCGTGTAATGTCTCGTATGTGTGTGTGTGTGTGTGTGCGTGTGTGTATGCGTGTGTGTGTGCTTTCGAGTTATGTTATATTTAGACTAACAACGCGACATTTTTGAAAACGCGTTTAACGATGAGATCTGTTTTATTAAATCTATAATACGACAATTTTTGACAAATATTTATCGAAATTGTTAAAATTTATCACGAATTTTTTAATTTTGCGAGAATATAATAGGATTCTCTTTGGAAAGCTTTGCGTCGATATCTCGTATCTTGTTCACTTTTCGAAGCAATTTTGAAATTGCCTTTAGAATTTATTAATATCGATGGAAATTAATATGATGGAAAATACTTCTCTTTTGAAAGAGCCGTTGATTAAAAAGATAATTTGACGTTGAAATATTAATATTCGTCCCGATATAATAATATTAAAGAAATTCATCATTTCACAGAATCATTTCAATAAATTATTTTGAACGATAGACAAGATATACAATTCTCTGAAGAAAAGTAATACGTGAATTTTATTTATTTCCCAGACCTCGTCTAACAATGTGGATCGAAGCAACCCACCGTTAAACTCGTTTCCATTCTCTCGTGAATACAAACTAAGAAGAAGAATTCTTCCTCGAGATGTATCGTGGTGATTTTCATTCAGTGGACGAGGATTGCAGGATCGTTTCGACAATTTTTAACATAAATCTCCTACAACCCTCATGGAGCAATAAATATCGTATACTCGTTCGCCTTTTTTTATGCTCAAAGCCGAACAATCGCTTTTCGAAAAAGATTCAATTCTCAAATTTCGCTGAAACAACAACAGGATCGGGGACAATTTAGCGTCTGTTCAGCCCTGGCCGAACAAAAAAAGGCTCTCTACCATAGATAAGTAGTGATCTATACACTCGTACATACACGTAATCCTTGCAATACACGGATATTATTCGTAGTACTCGAGTCGACAAGATACTACTACTCTTACTCTCTGTACTGTTATTTTCTTTCACCAACAAAAAAAAAACAAGAAAACAAAATTGCTCTAATTGCACTCTAACAAGCGAAAACTTACCAACCTACTTCGAAAACTGATCCTGCGACTGATCGTCTCCTGGTCCGAATCATCGAACCATACTTTCTCTCAATTTCAAGAAAAAGAAGAAAAAAAAAAAAAATTTCCAAGCAATTTAAACGACAAAATCGATATAAAAATTAACACGACGATACGTCGCACGTATCATTCCTCGAACCAAAATCCAAATCTCGAAAGGAATGAAAAAGTCAGTCAGGCCACTACGCCATACTAGAATACAATTTTCTTTCCAATAATCTCTGTTCGATGAAGGGAGAGGAGAGGGTGGTTTCTTGTTGGTGCTTATAGTGGAGCTTACCCTGACGCCGAATGCGGCGATCTTCAGTATGCACTCGACGGTGAACATCCCCGTGAAGCACATGTTCATGTACTTCAGCGTGTTCTTGTACGCGTCGCTTTGCCGATGGAACTGCAATGCATACACTGACAAACACACGAGCCGAGAGAGACAGACAAACGGGCGTACAAAGCCTATCCAATTCCCCGCGTGGAAATTCCCGCCCTCCCCCTCTCCTCTCTTTTTCTCCTCGAGCGAGGGGGAAGAGAGCGAGAATCGGAGAGGAGGGAAAGGCTGTTTCGCGAGAACCGTCCATCGCAAATGCAAAATTTTCTTTCTCCTTTCGTAGCGTGATCGATTCCGTTGCTGCTAATGGAAAATCAAGTCGTGTAAAATTAAGTAGATCGATCGATTTTTTGGGAAAAATTGAGATAGATTTAAAATCGTTATATTATATTTTACGCAGTCAACATTCCCGCCACGGGAGGATCGAAGAAAGATCGTTCGAAGAAATCGACTTGTTCCAAGTTTAGCATTCGTCGATAAATTTAGCATTCCATTAGGGATCGATGGACGGTTCCCTCGATATGACACACAATATTACAAATATTTATATATATATATTATATTAAAGACAGTGTAAAATAGAGTGCGAAATCTGTACATATATGTATATATACGTTTATATATATATATATACGTATGCACGTATTGGTGAGAAACTTTCCAGTCGATAGGAAAAAAAAAAAAAAAGGAGACACATGGGTGTATTAATATTAACCTGAATAGTACGTGTATCTGTACGACGATCGTACAGGGTGACGTTAAAGAGATTT